ATTTAGTTTTATTTGCCTCATAGCACCAATCATATTGGCAGGTGTAATATTTACTGATTTGTCTTCCCAAGATAGACTACATACTAGGCTATAAACCTGATTTATCTACCCTTTCATCTCTAGTACCTAGGAAGAAAACATCTAGTAGGCCCTCAACAAATATCTGTTGTTTTCTGGAAAATAATATACATTGTATTTAAGTAATTTCTTTTTATTCCAATGTTTCTTAGTGTTATTAAGAATGGTTGCTGTTGGCCAGGCACGGTGGCTCACACCTGTATTCTCGGCGCTTTGGGAGGCTGAGGCGGGCGGATCAGCTGAGGTCAGGAGTTCGAGACTCCCGGCCAACATGGTGAAACCCCGTTTCTACTAAAAATACAAAAATTAGCTGGGTGTTGTGGCGCATGCCTGCAATCCCAACTACTCGGGAGGCTGAGGCAGGAGAATCGCTTGAATCCGGAAGGTGGAGATTGCAGTGAGACAAGATCCGCCACTGCACTCCAGCCTGAAAGACAGAGCAAGACTTCATCTCAAAAAAAGAAAAAGAAAACCAGTTTAAGGGACAGATCAGGCCGAGAACGGTGGCTCATGCCTGTTATCTCAGCACTTACGCGATATCGCAGAAGGAGTATCACTTTGATGCCTGGGAATCAGTGAGATCCCGTCTCCACAAATAATTACTACTATTAATAATTTAAAATCTAAAAAAAAGGAGGGGGGAGGATCAGGTTAAAGTAACTATAGGGTTAACCTTGATATATTAAAAAATGCAGAAATAGTTGTAAGACCGTATCATTAAGAGGGATAACTCTCAGGGCAGAGCTAGAAATGTATCATATCTCAGCCTTTAGAATCTCGATTTCCCTTTGGAACATGAGAGATGATCTAGGACCTAATTAATTGGGTTTGTTTCCTCTCCGTTTCTTAAAAAGGTTTATGTGAGTTGCATTTCAAGTCCTGTAGAGGTACGTTTAAGTTTTCAAAAAAAACTTACCAGGACTTCTTGAGGAATGAGGATGGCAGCACGCCCAGACATGGGACACTCAGGGCAGTGTACTTCCCGCCTACTATTTGGTTTTAGTGGGCCGACCTGTCTCCAAAAACGATTTGACTACAATGCTAGGATTTTGCTAGGGCTTTTGTTTTTATTTCACTCACCCACTTTACTGCTTTCAATGTATCAATCCAGACGCGTGTCTGGTCAAACTCTCAGGTTTACGGCAAAATCATCATTTCAGACATTTGCTAAATGCTCTCCAAAAAGTCATTTTCAGGGGGTCACAGTGAGGCGGTGCACAGGTTGGCATAGAGTTAGTAGGGGCAGTTTTGTTTCGATTTGCGGGCAAACCTCTCAGATGTCGCTGATTAACTTTCACCCGCAGTTCCCAAAGCCCTTTAAGGCCGTTTCCCGCGCACTGCCCCGCCGCAGGCCGAAGCTGGCGCAGAGAGACAGGAAGCACCGCCCCCGGGCGTCTGAGTCCTCGCCCCCTCAGCCCGCAGCCCCGCGGCGGCGCGCTCGCCCGGTGCATTGTGGGCGCTGTAGTCCGGCCGGAACCTGTTTGCCACTGCGAGTCCCGTGACACTGCTTCTTCTCACACCCAAGCCCGCAGTGTTCCCCCCCGGCCTCGGCCGGGCCTCCTGGGCTCGGCGTTCCAGCGAGTCAGTTCTTTCTCCCCTGAGCACGGAGGCGGAAGCTTGAGGGGTGCGGGGAGGAGCTTCGCGCGTTGGGTGAACGCCCGCCTTACGTGCTCGTTCTCTTCGCAACCGCTGCGCGCTAGCCCCGTGTCCCGGCGGCTGGCAGCAGCTGCGTCGTCGGCTGAACGCGGAGGGGGCGGAGGGAGCCCGCGGCGGCGGCAGCTACAGCGAAATGGCGGAGACCGTGGCTGACACCCGGCGGCTGATCACCAAGCCGCAGAACCTGAATGACGCCTACGGCCCCCCCAGCAACTTCCTCGAGATCGATGTGAGCAACCCTCAGACGGTGGGGGTCGGCCGGGGCCGCTTCACCACCTACGAAATCAGGGTCAAGGTGAGGCCGTCTTTCCCCTCTCCCAAGAAACCTTTTCCGCTGGCTTTGGTCGCCCCCACCCGGACCAGGAGCGGACCGCCGCGGACAGCCACAGCCGCCCAGGCCTGGAGCCCCCTTGCAGAGGCGGACCCGGGTCGTGAGCCAGGGCCCCTCTTCCTGTAGGGCGGGTGTGGGGGTGCTGCAGAGCGAGCGCGGCTCGCTGGCACTGGGAGAAGGTGCTCGAAGAGGAGGGCGTGGGTTGAGCGCCGCTTGCCCCTCCAGCAGCTGATCTGGGAATGACATTTGAGTTGGAAAGGGGTAGATCTTTCGAGAACACATCCCTTCACCGGGAAGGGAAAGAGATGTTGACTGAGAAAGGGGGCTTGCGCAAAGTTGAAGCATTTTCTCAGTTTTTTCTTCCTGGAGACTTCCCAGAGGTAGCAAGCCAAGCCGGCTGCTCCAGGCCCTTCCCGAGTTACTAAAGTAACCGATCTTGTGCACTCTTCTGAACAGGACTTAATGGGAGTTCACAGAAGCCTGACAGTTTTTGATACGGCTGAGCCAGACCAGAAGGGTGATTGGACATGGTTGACTTTAGCACTTTGGGCCACCGCCCTGCTAAAGGCTGAGGTGTGGTGAGTGTCACCTACCTCATAATCCAAAACTACAGTTGCTTTAAGAAAAGCCTGTTATTTATGGATCTTGCTCTCTTAATTCGAGATTTGCATTTAACTGAATGACAGAATCAACAGAAATAAAATACACATAATTTCATAACTAGTATTTGTTGGCAATAAATCAGATGATTTGAAATATGCTAATTGAAAATAGTGCTTGACTTTCACTCTATAGTTCAGGATTAAAGAATTTGCCTATGTATGAAAGCATCTTTAAAAATTAATTACATTAATTAAAAGATGACAAATTACATTATTAGAAATTGAGTATAAGACGATTTTGCCATTAGAGTAATAAAAATTTATGTGACAAGCTACTATTAACATTTAAGTGAAATAATTTCTCATTAATTTATGCACTTTGTGTCGTGAAAAACACAAAACATAAAATTTACCATCCTAACCATTTTTTATAGAGGTGAGGTGTTACTGTGTTGCCCAGGCTGGTCTTGAATTCATGAGCTCAAATGATCCTCCCACCTCGGCCTCTCAAAGTGCTGGGATTACAGGCGTCAGCCACCACGCCCGGCCTCATCCTATTTTTTTTTAAGTTCAGAGCTCAGTAGTATATTCACATTGTTGTGAAATTTAAGTTTTTTTTTTTTTTTTTGAGACGGAGTTTTCGCTCTTGTTACCCAGGCTGGAGTGCAATGGCGCGATCTCGGCTCACCGCAACCTCCGCCTCCTGGGTTCAGGCAATTCTCCTGCCTCAGCCTCCTGAGTAGCTGGGATTACAGGCACGTGCCACCATGCCCAGCTAATTTTTTGTATTTTTAGTAGAGACGGGGTTTCACCATGTTGACCAGGATGGTCTCGATCTCTTGACCTCGTGATCCACCCGCCTCGGCCTCCCACAGTGCTGGGATTACAGGCTTGAGCCACCGCGCCCGGCCATTTAAGTATTTTTTAAAAATGATTCTAATGTAGTTAGCATTGATTAAAAAAAAAGTTAATCATCAAACTTTAAGATATGAAACTAATAGTTGAATGTTCAAGCCACTGTTGTCTTCTTATGAATGTGTAAAATGTGAATCATAGGCTTTGTTGTCATAGGGAAACTGCAAAATCCAGGCTTCACTACATTCACACATAAACCTAGTGGAAAAGTGAATGTTTTCTAATTGTCTGTAATACATGACAGATGGTTCACTAAAAAGAACTTCCTCTTTTGCCCTATTGACCAGCATTTTGTTTTTTCTTGTGCTAAAACAGAACTTGGTATTCTTGTTTCTAAACTTCCATGGCAGGTACTTCCTGTCACACAATTGAATTGAATCTCCTGCCTACACTTCCTCTACTTGCTAACTTTGTGTTTATCTTGCTGAGTGCATTATATTAAAAGGATTGTAGTATAATAATTGAATCCTCCTTTTTTAAGTACATCTGATACCTTAGCAAATCGCTGATGTGACACTTAAAAATGTTTTTTGGGCCTGGCGTGATGGCTCACGCCTGTAGTCCCAGCACTTTGGGAGGCCAAGGTGGGTGGATCCTTTGAGCTCAGAAGTTTGAGACCAGCCTGGGCAACACATTGAAACCCCTTCCCTACAAAACACACAAATGCACACGCATACCCACAAAAATTAGTTGGGTGTGGTGGCATGCTTGCCTGCCTTCCCAGCTACTCCAAAAGGCTAAGGTGGGAAGATCATTTGAGCACAGGAGGTTGAGGCTACAGAGAGCTATCATTACACCACCCCACTCAAGCCCTCATAACAGAATGGGACCCTATCTCAGGAAAAAAAAAAAAAAAAAGGTTTTTGGTATAGTCATTTGCATGTTAAAGAAAATAATCGTTTTGAAGAATGATTGAGTTAGGGAACTAACAAATTATGCACTTACTTTGGTTTGTATTTTTGTATAAACCAACTCATTGGGTGTTAATAGCTGTTAAGAGTCATAAATGCAGGTGCCTTTATGAAAACCTAATGAGTTTTTAATGCATGAAATGCCCTTGGATTTCTTTTAGTATGTAATATGTTAACTTAAAACTGAGGACACCATATAGTAAGGAAATTAGGCCTTATTTGAGCAGCATGTGATTTTTTAGAGTAATTATAGTCTTGCATTAAGGCAGAGTAGCCATGACATGCATAGTTTAATATTTTGTTTTTTTGTTTTTTTTTTTTTACTTGATACAGAGTCTCACTTACAGAGCCCAGGCTGGAATGCAGTGACATGATTGTGGCTCACTGCAGTCTCAAACTCCAGGGCTCAAGTGATCCTCTCACCTAAGCCTCCCAAGTAGCTGGGACTACAGGGTGCTACTATGCCTGACTAAATTTTTTTGTTTTTTGTCAGATGAGACTTGCTATGTTGCCCAGGATGGTCTTGAACTCCTGGCCTCAAGTGATCCTCCCCTCTTGGCCTCCCAAAGTATTGGAATTACAGGCATGAACCACCTCACCTAGCCCTGCAATTTTATTTTTATTTTCTAAACTGTTGCTGCTCTCCTTAACCCCTACTGACTACCTTTTGCTATTGAATTTGCTATGTGAAAAACCATTTTATGTTTTAGAAATTGGGCCTTTGTCTTACAGTTACTCTCTAATTCTGGTCTTGAGAAAAATTTTCAGTTTTACAGGATGTGATTGAAATTACTCTAATTCACAGGGCAATTTTATCTGGATGGTGGCACTTTAGAATGCAAGTTTCTCAATCTCCGTTTATCTTTTGGTTTGAGGATAGTGTTTAAGACTATTAGGATCACTTGATTAGTATCTCTGGGCTTTTGAAAATAATTACACAGTGTTAATGTTTTTAAAAATTGTTCTAATGGGTAGGTACAGCGGAGAGCACCATAAATGATTAAAGGTTTAGGAAAGCTCAAGGTCTAGAATTATTTAGGCATATTAAAGAGAAGGCTGAAAGTAAAATTCAGTCACTGTTTATGAAGTCTGTGCTATAATGTGACTTTACTATTCTGGAGATTTTTTAATTAATCAAGATCTATTTTACCTGGAGAACGCTGTTTTGAACAGGAATGGAATTAGAATCTTTCTTGAGCTCTGACATAGTCCTCAGTTCGAAGAATAGAATTAACATTTCCTAGCTGGGTAAGGTACAAAATCAAAGCTCCACTTCCCCACTGTGAAATAGGTATGCTAATAATAGTACCCACCTCTTAGGACTAACTGGAATAAGGCACATGAATCTTTCTAGCACAGTGCCTGGCACATAATAAGCATGCAAAATTTAGCTCTTTCTAAAGATACATTTTCTAAATTAAATGTCAGTGATCAACTACATTTTCTGTGTGTTAATGTGTAGTTGGGTTACTAAAATTGTTAGATTTTCTTATCAAGAGACCTACTTGTCATGGAAGTATACCTCCATTAAGCAAGCATGGTATAAAAAGAAGCCGTTGGCTGGGTGTAGTGGCTCACGCCTGTAATCCAAGCACTTTGGAGGCCAAGGCGGGCGGATCACCTGAGGTCAGGAGTTCAGGATCAGCCTGACCAACATGGTGAAACCCCGTCTTTTTAAAAAAAAAAAAAAAGAAGCTGTCTTATTTAGTACTTAACCAAGTAACCTTTGTGTATGTATTTATTTATTTTTTCGAGAGAGGTTCTCCCTCTATCAGCTGGGAGTGCAGTGGTGCAATCACAGCTCACTGCACAACCTCAGCCTCTCTAGTAGCTGGGACCACAGGCACACACCTCCACACCTAGCTAATTTTTAAATTATTTGTAGAGACTAGATCCCACTAGTTGCCAGGGCTGCTCTTGAACTCCTGGCCTCAAGTGATACTCCCACCTCAGCCTCCCAAACTGCTAGGATTATAGGCATGAGCCACCACGCCTGGCCCAAATAACCTTTTAAAGTTGAGCTTTATTAAAGCATAAAGCTGAATAGTAGGCCGGGCGCGGTGGCTCACGCCTGTAATCCCAGCACTTTGGGAGGCCGAGGCGGGTGGATCACAAGGTCAAGAGATCGAGACCATCCTGGGCAACATGGTGAAACCCCGTCTCTACTAAAAATACAAAAAATTAGCTGGGCATGGTGATGCGTGCCTGTAATCCCAGCTACTCGGGAGGCTGAGGCAGGAGAATTGCCTGAACCCAGGAGGCGGAGGTTGCGGTGAGCCGAGGTCGCGCCATTGCACTCCAGCCTGGGTAACAAGAGCGAAACTCTGTCTCAAAAAAAAAAAAAAAAAAAGCTGAATAGTAAAGTTGGCTGATAAAAATTTTGACATGATGCTAAATAAATGTAGCATCTTAACAGTGTTTGCCGTTCTAAACTTGTGTATGTTTTTTCCTCTGGGTCAATCATCTAAATCTTAAATTGGGAGTCATTAATATCCAGATTAGAAGCTGAGAAATTTTAAAATCTTAGACTTATTTTTAGGAATTATAAATATGTATTATTGAAGGGCTAAAATATTAATAGTATTTTAAAGAATCAGGGGGTCAGGTGCGGTGGCTCCTATAATCCCAGCCCTTTTGGGAGGCCATGGTGGGAGGACTACTTGAGCTCAGGCATAATATAACAGCCTGGGCAACACAGTGAGACTCTGTCTCTACTAAAAAATTTTAAAATTAGCCAGGTGTGGTGGTGCATGCCCGTAGTCCCAGCTGTGTCGGAGGCTGAAGTGGAATATCTTGAGCCCAGGAGGTCAAGGCTGCAGTGAGTCATGATCACACTGCCACACTGTAGCCTGGGTGAAAGAGCGAGACCCTGTCTCTTAAAAAAAAAAAAAAAAAAAAAAAGAAAAAATCAGGGCATTTTGATGCCAAAGGACATCTGTGGAATCTATGTGGCTCTATCAGTTTGCCAATGAGATGTTGTCTGTTAAACATGTTGCTGCCGGCTACAGCTGACTTTTCCAGGATCTCCATCAAGGAGAAGCATGTTATTAGCTGTGAAGATTGCATTCTTATCTAATCCATCCCTTAAGAAAATGGAGAGAGGGGGATGAAGACAGTGGCAATTTTAAAGTAGCCCTGTTATATTGAGTTTTTAGGGACTCTGTCTGTTCTGTGAAGACATATATCACTTGAGTATCTGTTATGTACAGGGCACTGTGGTGTATCTATAAAATTTAATCTTGAGAAAACCAAGCAGAGTAGATAATACTCCTGTTTTGCAGATGTAGAAGCTTAAGTCCCAGCTGATCCTCATCTCTTGTCCTTTTCTCATATTATGCTCTAGTCCTGAACTGGTATCTCCCAATTAAGCTGAGTTCTTTTGTATCCAGGCCTTTGCACACACTTCCTCCTCTTTTAAGAACAGGCTTCCTTAACAGCCTCATCTGGTTACTATCACTTATCCTGCCGGACTCAGCCTTAATGTCCCCTTTTTAGAGATTTTGCTGATCCCTTGACTCTGGACCAGATTTCCTTCCTGTGTGCCCTAGTAGTTTTGTTAGGATTAAATTCTTTTGCTTGTCTTTGGTTTCCTGTAAGCTCCTATATCTCCCATTATAAGCTCTTAGAGGAGAGAGACTGTCATAATCACCCTTATTCTATATCCAACACTGCTTGGCACATAATGGACACTTAAAAGTAAATGAAGTGTAGAAAAGTTAACTCGCCCAAGGTCACAGCTATTAAATGGTAAAACTGGGATTTGAATCTAGGTTTTCTGACCTTCAGAGCCCATACTTTTTTTTTTTGAGATAGGGTCTCACTTTGTTGCCCAAGCTAGAGTACACAGTCGTACAATCTTGGCCCACTGCACCCTCAACCTCCTGGGCTCAGGCCATCCTTCCACCTTCGCCTCCTGTGTAATTGGGGCTACAGGAGCAAGTCAGTATGTCTGGCTAAATTTTTTGTATTTGTAGAGACGGGATTTCTCCATGTTGCCTAGGCGTCTCTCAGACAAGGTCACCATGGTTGCCCAGAGCCCTCACAGAACATTCAGATCACCTGAAGAGCCTTTGAAACCATATGCAGCAAGGATTTCTCCTGCTGTTTATCATGCTCTCTGTCTCACTGAGATAAAGAGTAGAAAAGGAGGAGAAATATACATAGAACCACAGTGGTTGATAGCTCTGATGGGGTTAAAAAAAAACAGATTTTAAAATAGTAAAACATAAAATGAATAGCAGATCTTGGCAACAGAGAGGAAAACCAGTGACATTTGTCAAAGATAGAAAACTTCTTGGAGGGGAGGCATTTAAATATTAGCTGAAAGCATACCATCTCTACAGCTTGGGTTTTTGGGAGGAAGGGGAGATACTACTTTCAGTCAAGCCAGATCTTTTTACCCTGCCTTGCATCATCCATGTCTATATTCCTATATAATAATCATGAAAGTAAGCCGGAAGTTAAAAAAGACAAATATATATATATACACACACACATATTGTATTTAAGAAAGGAATTTTTTGGAGACAAGGTCTTGCTATAATTGGGACTTCAGGAGCACGTCATTATGCCTGGTTAAAGTGAGCCTCCCACCTCAGCCAAGTAGCTGGGATTACTGTTGCATGCCATCAAGCATGTCTCAAAAAAGGAATCTTTATAAATATTGTCACGCTACACCTTTAAAGGAAAATCTAAGCAATGCTTTGAGCTATGCTGGTGATCACATGTAATAATTTTCCTCTCTTGTTCACTTTCATCATCATGCTTACTGCACACCTTCGAAAAAGCACTAGACTTTTATTATTAGATACTTTGATGTTTGTATCATGTTATGCTGTTTTCATGTAAACACAGCCAGCAGTTTCTTGAACATCAGTTAAGAAAGATGGTGTCCAAGAAAATCTTTGAACTGCTATTTTTTTTTCCAGTTTATCCTTAGGGATGGGTGCCGTGGCTCATGCCTATAATCCCAGCACTTTGAGAGGCTGAGGTGGGTGGATCACCTGAGATCAGGAGTTCGAGACCAGCCTTGCTAACATGGTAACACCCTATATCTACTAAAATACAAAAATTATCCAGTGTGGTGGTGCATGCCTGTAATCCCAGCTACTCAGGAGGCTGAGGCACACAAGGATTGCTTGAACCCTGGAGGCAGAGGTTGTGGTGAATCGAGATTGCACCACTGCACTCCATCCTGGATGGCAGCGAGACTGTCTTTAAAAAAAAAAGTTTGTTCTTAAATGTGTAACAAGCTCCAAGACATTTCATCCTTTGCTTCCTATAGTGGAAGCAGAAGACCTTATGGCAGGGAATACAGATATTTAAATAGGAATGGGATCAAGGGTCATCACTGCCTCGGGCACAGTGGTTTGTTTTTTGGTTTTGGTTCTTGTTTTCCAGATTTCTCCCATCCAAGTACTAACCAGGCTTAACCCTGCTTAGCTTTTGAGATGAGACGAACAATTGGGTGCATTCAGGGTAGAATGGCCATAGACTTTTGCCAGATTTCTTTATTCCACCTGTCCAGGGAACCCTTCCCTCTGGCCTTTGCTTTTAGCTCCTCAGGTTTTTTCTGCTCCTCCTTTTGTTTCTGCTTGAAATTCTTGTCTTCCTCATACATCTCCTTGGCCTGTTTCTTGGGCTGTTTCAGGGGCTTCTTGCTGTAGGTGCTTGTTAGGAAGGCTGGATGTGGTGCCTGCCGTCCCTTCCTCAAACCCTGCACAGGAAACTGGAACTTGCAAAGCCTTCAACCAAAGTTCTACTTTTTCTCTTTTTTTTTTTTTTTTTGAGACAGAATCTCACTCTGTTGCCCAGGCTGGAGTGCAATGGTGCAGTCTCAGCACACTGCAGCCTCTGCCTCCCTGGTTCAAGCAATTCTTGTGCTTCAGCCTCCCAGGTAGCTGGGACTATACAGGTTGTGCACCACCACGCCCAGCTATTTTTTGTATTTTTAGTAGAGATAGGATTTCAGTATGTTACCCAGGCTGGTCTCAAACTTCTTCCTGGCCTCAAGTGATCTGCCCACCTCAGCCTTCCAAAATACAGGCGTGAGTCACTGTGCCTAGCCACTACTTCTTTAAGGAAATATTTAACTCACAACCCAGGAATTTGGATGTGTTAGTAAAATGTGACGTTTGCTATAGCTTGCCAGAAAGGTTGTACCAATTAGTATAGAGTTTGTGCTGTTCTCAGATAAAGAAGAGAATTTTTTGTTTGTTTGTTTGTTTTTCCACATGGAAAGGTTTCAGGCACAGCCCAGGGTTAGTATTGTAGCTTGACTATCAGCTTCTAATATCATATGCACATGCTAGCCAAAGGGAAGGTTTATTTGTGCCCTTGAAGGACTCAGCCAGGAAGTTGTCTTATTTCTGTTTCTGCCCCATTGCCGTACTTAGCTACAAAGGAAGCTGGGAAATTTAACTAGGTGGCCATGTGAAGAAGGGAAGAGTAGACACTATGCTTTGCTACGTTAACAGATGGTTGTGGTTGGCCCTTCTAGGATATGGCTTTAAGCTACACTGTGATCATTTAAGAATTTCCTTTTTCTGCTGATGCCTGGAATTTCAGTTTAGAGTAAGTTCATTTGATTTGCAAGAAATAAAATTGTACTCTCATTAGTTTAGAAGTCTTAAGTGTGAATAAGTTTTGATTCTTTCATGATAATTAATTTTGATAAGTCGAGAAAAAAGGCAAGCATGAAGACATGGCATATCTGTTAGGGGCATACCTTGAGATTGGGCTAGAGATTCTAAAAATAGTTGATTGACCTTTTTTTTTTTTCCCCCTTCAGAGGCTGCTTAAAACTGTATTGGTTTTGCTGGGCGCAGTGGCTCACGCCTGTAATCCCAGCACTTTGGGAGGCCAAGGCGGGCAGATCACGAGACTAGGAGTTCAAGACCAGCCTGGCCAACATGGTGAAACCCCGTCTCTGCTAAAAATACAAAAAATCAGCCAGGTGTGGTAGCAGGCAGGTATAATCCCAGCTACTCAGAAAGCTAAGGCAGGAAAATCGCTTGAACCCGGGAGGTGGAGATTACAGTGAGCCAAGACTGCGCCACTGTACTCTAGCCTGGGCAACAGAGCAAGACTCCATCTTAAAAACAAAAACAAAACAAAAAAAAAACCAAACTATATTGGTTTTAGTTAGGACCAGCATTGTAGTTGCTGATATTGAATCATGGAGTATATACTTTGAGCCACCAAAATAAATGAAGGTCATTTTCTTTTAGCAGAGAATCACAGAAAGACTTGCAATAATTTTGTAAAGTTTCTTTGTGTCCAGCTGTATTGGAATGGTCATTTGATAATTCTTTGTTCTGTAAACCTTGATTTTATCACTGATAGAGCATTTCTTTTGGCTTTTCTAAAGTTATTTCAGCACCTGCCACGTATAGTTTGTTTGCTTTCTATTTTTCTAGTCCTGCCCTTGTGGGATGAACTTCTCTGTTGCATAGTAAGGCTCATCCATATTGAGAAACAGAGAAGTCTGAAAGCCCCTCCTTGTGTCTGGTCTTGGTATCTCACTCCTTTCTTGTCTTGACTTTACTGGTTATCTTCAAATGGAAATGGACAGAAAAAACTTGTCAGCTAGGCATGTATATATGTAT